AAAACGAGGGTGCGTGCTGCCCCTTTGGGTTTCCGTTCTCCACAAGTAAGCAGTATGAGTAGTAGTGGTAGTAGTAGCAGTGTGAAAGGAAGTGGTGCTGGTAGTGATCGTAGCATTAGTAGTAGTAGTACTACTACTACTACTACTGGTGTACTTGTGGGACTGAGCAGCAGCAGCAGAAGCAGTAGCAGTACTTAGTCGTAGTGGAAGTACAACTAGTAGTAGTACTACACAAGTACTAGTATATACTACTACTACTACTACTACTACAACTACTACTACTGCTACTACGACTAAGTAGAGTGGTTGTACTAGTCGTAGTAGTAGTAGTAGTAGTACTACTACTACGACTAGTACAAGCACTACTACTTCAACGACTACTACTTGTAGTAGTAGTACTACTACTTACTAATACTAGTAGTAGTAGTAGTACTACTACTACTACTACTACTACTAATACTACTACAGTACTAACTAGTCCTACTACTACTACTACTACTACGACGACTACTACTACCCCAGTAACTCCTACAACTACTAGTACTACTAGTACTACTACTAGTACTACTACTACAATTATTACGACTACTGCTACTACTAGTACTACTACTACTACTACTACCACTACTAGCGCATTTATTCCTCACACGCATAGCCACGCTAGAGTGCATGCAAGCACACCACACCTTGAAACACCAACAGCCAAAAACTAATCCCATGCAATACAACAACTCGTGCTTTTATGAATATAATCCGCTAGAGTGCAATTACTTATTGCCGACGAATTATCTGAATCCGAAACATATCGACATATAGTTGTTCATGCAATTCACTGTGAGTCTTCGAGTTGAACTGCGAGTAGCCCTCGAACCCATCCCTCAGACTTCCAAATTCCCAACACCAAAAACCCTTGGCAGTACTACGCTCAAGTGTCCGGCGTTGTGCTCTCCGAGAAGTCCAGAATCGGAAGGCCTGAGTGGCATTGTATCGATTTCGGTTACTACACTGGAACTGAGCAAAGGCAGCTGAACACAGAGTGTATCTTTCCGAACCAGCGAGGCTGCTGTTGTCCGACGAGCTGAAGCTTGCTAAGCGGCACCCTGAGCGCGCTGCAGAAGCAAAGAAGCTGCATGGACACGACCTGAGCATGTGTGGCTTTGCATTGTTGTCGTCAACCTATGATGCAATTGCAGTGCACATGACAGCTCTGCCGGGAGATGCCATCTGCCTTTTTCTCCGCAGGAACCATGTGTGGGAACAGCGGGTGTCTGTACAAAAAAAAAAAAAAAACATTTGGGAATAGTGTCCGTCGGAAAACAAACTTTTTCACAACGAGTCCAAGGAGTGCACAAGATTCTCAGTCGTCCCAGTCCAGCGGGGTCAGGAGAAGTCCTTTGATCTGCAAGCTGATGTCACTTCCTGGCATCAGCAGGGGCCCGCGCATCTTTATTTTCAAAAACCATGCCAGCCCTTCCTTGCAAAGGCCTAGAGCAGACCCAGTCCCACTCCTAGAAAAACTAAAAAAATGATAATGCTCGGCTGTGGATCGTCCGTCGGCCCTCACGATCATACAGAAATAAAGGTCCTCCGAGTTGTGCGACGCGGTGGCCGTGTAGAGTTGACCATGGTAAGGGACGGGTACAGCGACGGGAAACCCTTCCCAGTCCGCGTTTAGCAAGTCCAAGACCCACCGGGTAACTGGGCGTCCAGGGATAAGCAGATGCCTGTGGAGTCCTGTGTGTAGAGCGTTGTCGATCCGCCTGTTCGCGGCTTCGGTAACCTGCCTCCAGGCCAGCCTTGGTGTGCATTTGTAGGAAGCTAATTAAGCTCGCAATGGCCGAACGGCGGAGCAGACCATGCAATGATAGTCCAACAGTTCTTGCACTGGCCAGAAGAGAACTGAGAGTTGCACGAAAGCATTTTGTCCTCCTGCATTTGATCGACGAGTATCTGGATGCTGCCCTCCGGGTCGCTGATCCTGCTTCGGTTTTAATTTACTACACTATGTTAAACCGTACTTCAATAAAAGCAAAGCTGTCTCCTGCGTTCAAGTACACGGGGTCGCTGGTAGATGGTCCCTTCCATGGCCGACAACCATGTCCACAGCCTAAGTCAATATCCTACCTTAAGTATTTCCTGCATGTAATTCAACGAAAGTTGCCAGCTGAACTGTGAACTGAGGTGTGTACGTCTTGGGCCATGTGTCCTTCGTGATGCTCGACGGGGGTCCAAAGCATGTCTCGATCCATCGTGTCTCCCAGTTCTCCACTCCAGGGAAAGGTCCAAGGCGAAAATAATAGGCCTGCGTAAGGAGCAAGTCCGACAAGAAGATTTCGAGTTCGTACGGCGCGGACACGTCCAGCGGGATGAAGTCCAGGACCGACGGGGGGAGCTGCGCGATATAGTCCAGATTGCGTAGCTCCACGGTTGTCTGCGGCTCCATACCTTGCCGAGATGCAAGGTAATAGTCCATCCCGCGAAAATCGAACTGCGTCTCGTCCAGCGGGTCGTCCGAAGGCCGAAGAAAACTGGGAACGGAACGGCGAGTGAACGGAGTGGAACGACGCGAGTCCGAACCGGATGACATGTCCGGCGAGAGCAGAAAGGAGAAGGACGAGGGGAAGAAGACAGGAAGATCTCAAGCTGCAGCTGCGGGTGCAGGTTGGACAAGCTCAGCCAACAAATCATTCTCTGAAAAGCCCTAGTGGAATCTGAAAAAACAATGCAGCAATGGCTTTGCATCCAGATATGCATCTCTCCTGCATGCCACTGGGAGACGAAAGGCTGGGCACCCTGCACTCGTCCTCGTTGAAATGCAGGGATGCAAAGTCCGCTCGGGTGACCTGCGCGTGCCAGGGCTTTGAATCTAAATATTTAAGACTTGTGTGGGAAGAAACCACAGAATGTCCTATCATTTCATCACATTACAGTACCGCGGGTGCTAGAAATAAATACCTGGAATACAGACAGACAAAGAGCCCAGCAAAATTCCGTCCCATGAAATTACCAATGTCTCTGGCCTTTTCACTAGACATACCAGGACCCAAGAACAGGAAGTGTATTGCATCTCGAAAACGTTTGTTGTGAGGTTTTCTGGGATATAAGAAATATTATAAGGATGTAGACTTAAAGTTATTCCGAGCGACATGGACTGATTCGCTGTTGTGCTCACGCTTAGTAGATTGCTTCATGTATCTGATACGATACCGAGAAACTAGCCGTTGAGGTGCTCAGGCATTCTTAGAAAAGACAGGCTGGAATCACGAGTGTCCGTTGGAAACCGTGCCTCAAACCGAAGCCCCCAAAAATGCAACAAAAGGGTACCCCCAACCACGCTGGAGTAGAAGCAGCGCACCTCGACTTGCTAAGAAGTCGCACATATCCTCTTTATATGGTACGCCGTGTCTATAATGATATGGCTATTTGTTCTCCAGTTACTGAACATCAAATCCAGGAAGAAGCTCCGAGTTGGGCTGAGGGCCGAGCTTGCAACGATGCCTGGCCGTTGGGGGCACCCGACGGCAGAAAGCAACCAATTCTGTAATCGTATGACACAGCAGTGGAAAGCCAACCAAGGCATCTGCAGGCCACTTCTTTTGTTCTCGTGCACACGAATTGTCCAGCGATGTGCAAAAAGATTTGTGTCCGGCGATAGATTTCTGTCCGGCGATGTACAAGATTTGCTGGAACGACGGGTCTCGAAACAAAGCTGGTAACTATGGTAATGCTTTTGAATGTATTTTGCCTAAGCAATAATATTATTTTTCAAATCAAGATCCGACGTGTACCATGCAAATCAAGCTTGCTACGATCGTCCAACGGGTCTGTACATAGCAGCGGCCGGCGTGGACTTCGGAGTTCTGGCCTTGCACGGAGGGCTGAAACGCAGCAGGGAACCAGTGACACACTGCAATGCAATCCCTTGAGTTAGTTAGTGCGGTCCAGACACAGGAACAGTCCTCGGGGGGTCGACCGGCGCATCCTCCACCGTGTTCTCCTCCTCCTCCTCCTGGTCCTCGTCCTTCGGGTGGATCTCTTCCTCCTGCGGGTGCTCGCCATCGCCCGTTGTGCCAGCGTCCGCCGGAAATTCTGCGACAAAGCCAGGGTGATGCATGGGACAGGAAAGGCTATGTATCTTCTCATAAATATTGCAATCCACAGCAAGTAACTCTAACATGTCAGGATAGCATGCAGCGAATCATAATAGCCAGGAATAAGAAGGAAACCCCAGCTACGAGGCCCCAGCAAGAACAACAGGAGGAAACCGACAAAGCAGCAACACCAAACGACTGCCGATGTCTAACTTCGGTGTATAGCTGAGTAATCTCATCAACAAAAAATGTCGCAGAACCATGCTCACCTGTATTACTACCTGAATTGGAAGCTAATAATAACCTGTTGCTGCAAGCACAATTATCTAGTATTGAAACACCACGCGCCCGCCACCCAAGTGCCTTCCGCCAACAGTTGTCCAGTAAGGTGCATGAACCCACGTGATCGAGGAAGGTCCCACGCACTGTTTCCTGTTCTGACAACAGAATATCTTCAACTACTAATGTTGCAACAGAGAAATGAATGAATAATCTTGGTACTAGAACACATGATGTGGACTAGGATGTTGCTAGACCAGAAGCATATGCAGCAGCAATCTTTCAACGTATCTATTGTATGTATGGATAATGGATTAGGAAAGACTACATGTAGAAACAATATTGTAATAATAATAACTAAGTATTTAATTTACTTACATATATAAATATATATGTATGTATGTATTCTGGGTATCTTCATGTACAGCACAATGTCATTGAAGAAACTGAAATGATGAAGGAGACTTGGGCTGTAGTTTGAACATGAACTAGAATGCCTCTTCAATTCAAATTGCAGCAGGAAGTGATACGGAGCCCAAGTCTGCATACTAGCTTATTTAAGATATTACTAATAATATGTACTGAAAGAAAAAGCTGCTGTTTCCCGAGCCCGGGTCCTGAGCCAGGTACGTCGTCGTCGTCGTCCACCGGGTGTTCCTCGACGTTGACATCTTCATCTTCGTCCTCCGGGTCCTCCAGCTGTGATTGCAGCTTCAAGAACTGGACCTCGAGTTTTTTGGCCTCCATCTCTTCCTTTGCGATCTGCATGGCCCTGAGCAGCTTGGCCTTGTCCTTGTCCTTTGTCGTGGCCGTCGCGGATCCAGGCAGACTGGTGTCCAACGTGGCATCGGAGAACTGCGAGTGGACCCCCATTTTGGACGTCGTCGACTTTTGACCTGCGGACTGCACAGACATCCGATCGTCCTCCGATGGTGGCTCGGCCTTCGTGGTTTTCTTGGAGGGAACAGCGGGTGCCTTGGCCGGGGCCTGCGGGGGGTCGGCGGGAGGGGTTTTGAGCGCCGTGGGCCTGGCCTTCTGCTTGGGTGGGGAACTCGGGGAAGCTTCTTGTGGAACGGCGGGCTTGATATCCTCGCGCCTTCGTGCGTCCAGCGCTCTGCTCCACGTCGCGTTGTCCTGCTGTCGTCCCAGCCACTGACTCGGCTGACCCGGGGACTTGGGTGGGGCCGTCGCGGGTTGCAAGGGTTTGCCCGTCGTCTTTGAAATTGGCCTTATGGTCGGCCCAGACGAAGCTGCTGCACTGCTGGATGTGGTCGACGGGGCACGTCCGGCGGGTGGGCCACGAGGCAGTGGAGGGCCGTGGTGGGCCATGGGGGGTGCGTCCGCCGTGTTCTCCACGTGCATGGGTGGCCGCTGGGGTGGGCACCAAGACTGGCTGTCTCGGCACGAAAGAACCCTTAGGTCTGTCCACCGAGGGGTGTCCTGCGCCATGCTCCGGCGTGTCAATGCCCTCGCGTTTCAACTCCTCCGTCCTTTGCCTCCTCAGCCGACCCTCGATGACCAGGTTCTGGTCGTCGTCCAGCGAGTCCATGACACGTTCCCAACCAAGTCCACCGGGTAGGTCGTGCTGGTTGAGTTGGCTCGGCGATTTCACCGGCTCCCAGCCGTCCCTCGGTCCCTCGCCTGCCCCCCTGGCCTGTCTCTCGACCCGGCGTGATTTGGCCGTCTTGTACGCCTGGAACTCCTCGTCGTCGCCTGGGACAAAGCCAAGCAGTGCCAGGACATTTTTAGTAACAACTCAGGAGCACACAAGGCAGTGCACAAGGAGTAACTTGGACTGTTGGGTATTGACTAGCCAAAGTTAATTAATGCTTCAAAGGAACTCCTCGGGTGCATCGCGTGTTTGGCCTTCGTGTTGATGTTCGTCAGGAAATAGTTCGACGGGTTCCTGATATCGCCGTCCATGAACTTACCTCAGTTTCATCGGAGACTCAGACCGTCAAGAAGCACTGACACAGCATTCATTCGCAGGCACAACACCAAGTTAATCGTCGAGGCACTGCGCATTTGTTTGGCGATGTCATGGGCCAGGACACGTCCCCACGGGGATTGCTCAACGAGACAAGCCATGGCCTGATTTAACCAAGGAGTGCACACTCGCCTGCCTGAACACACAATGAAAATGAAAACTGTCATTGCAATCTGGTTGCCCCCCACACATGATCGTCGAACTGGTTTTTGTACAGGGCCATCGCGGAGGCCACCGATGGAGCTTTGTAAAGGAGTACAGCGCGTTCCTGATCTGTGCAATCAGATTACTAGTGGCTAATAATAGATCTAGACGTCCGACTTGGACTGGCTGTGGAATGCAACAATCAGAGATAACTACCAGAGTGGCTATTTCTTCTGTCAAGACTCTCTCTCCTTGGCCATCTCCAAACAGAGGTTGTCCACCGCGACTTGTCCACCGCGTTGGCGTGCCTTGTACAGCGCGAACTCGAGCATGTCCACCGCGGTGTAGTTCTCCGGGCACATCTTGGGAGGTACGTCGTCGTCCAGACCGAGCTTTTTGCCCTTGCGTGTTCTGTTAACACGAACAAAGCCATCATCGTCCACAGCTTCTCCGGGGAACATCTTCGTGTTCTCGAACTTTTTCATGTCCGCCGGTTCCTGTTCCTCCTCGTCCGAGCTCGACGACTGCTCCACGGGTTTGTCCTCCTCCTCTTCATCAGCGTTGTCCGGCGTGGGTGCCTTTCGCCTTCTCCTGGTCCGTCGAACTGTCCTGTTCTCGCCTCTGAAGTCTGCGAGAACCTTTTCCTCCTCCGTGTCCGAGTAGTACCCCTCGTTGTCCTGCGAGTCCTGAAGGTTGTTCTCATAGACCCACGTGGCGAGGTCCGAGTCCGGCTCGACCAGGTTGTGTTTGACCTGACAGATCTTCCAGGCGAGTTCTCGGCGAGCTTCGGACTTGAAGGGGTACTTCGCGCAGTCCGCCGCGGAGAGAATGAAGTCGTTGATTTCGTCCTTTTCCGGCAGAACAGCGGGTAGTCGAACGAAGTAGAACCGCGCGTCCCAGACGTTGGGGAAGTTGAACGTCGGGAAATAACAAGGGAAACCGGTGGCAATCGAAAGAAGCGATCCGGTCCCAGCCGCCCTGTGCTTGCCCTTCGCACCTGATTTTTTTCTGAAATAACCAGAACCAACGGGAAGAACTTCAAAGTAGAGACACCAAAGCACTTTAAATAAAGGCTTGTAGTCAGACATACGCCGATATCTAATTTGCAACACAGTCTCAGTGCAAGAACAACGCGAGTTTTTGCTGTGGCCCACGAAGTTCGAACCACGTCCAGATGAGTCCAATGAGTAAGACCAGCGCTTGCCACATGCCGTTCTGTCCAATACTGAGGTGCTTCAGAACGTCGTAGTTGACCGCCGGGTTGCCTCGCACATGAACTAAAGAAACTGCTTGCAACCTTTCTGTTACTTACACACACTCCTGTCATGAACGGCTCATGCAAACACTGAGGAACTGCTGCTCAGAAACCCTTCGGAGTGCTTTGGTCGTACTCCGCGTTTGTCAGTCCGAGATTTCGAACGTCCACCGTCTGAAAGGTAAAGTTCTCCTTGCCAAAAGCCCAGCGACAATACTCCTGTACGATCCCCGTGTGTCCAGCGCAGTACGAGTTGTCCGGCGAGTCACCTGAAAAGTCATTGTGACATGAATCACGTGTTCACAAAGCAATGTCTCGTGCAAACGTGATGAATGTCTATTTCTTTTGCAAGCGTCTTCGTCCATCGGGGTAGTTCATCTCCGAACCGTAGGCGATGATCACCACCTCCCTGTTCTTCGCGTGCTCGGCCTTCGCGTACGTCGTGGCCATCCGGGGTCCAACGTTCGGCATGTACTCCTTGAGCGGCGCACGAGGGGTTGAGGGGCCGGACATGATGGCCAAGGCGAAAAAAATCGACAAGTAGATAACGAGTTAGAAGTTCTCAAGGCTCTCTTTGAACCAAATGCGCAGCAATCCGTCATGCCCTGCTCCATGTGCCAACAATTCAACCACGAATGCAGGTGCAAGCGACATGAGCAAATCACAGCCATGAGCAACGTGTGCAAAGCGGGGGGGCGGAAGGCACCTGCTCCGGCGAGATATTCTTGGTGTCCGTCAGGAGCACAATGTGGTGTCCGGCGAGTCGAAAGCAGGGCTTCAAGGGCTGGTGTGTTCTCGGGGTTGGGCCGACGAGTTGTTTTCTCAAAAAATGATAAAGAAGTTCAAGTTTCCTTCACAACAACAGAAAACATCTGCCATATATATTCCTTTATCAGAAATTATTCTTAAGTGTTTGAAATTGAAAAGCCCTGCTCCCTGCATGCAATCAGCATAGTTTTCGAAACCACCCAGACATGTCGAATGTTTGGGAACAATTACACCGTAGATGCTTCAAGCTGCAGGTGTAGTAGCCAACTCCCGGCCAATGGATAACGTTTCTGCCCGAGGATTGCTATGTGTTGTGGGGGGTGGCCTGAACTTCGTCCATTGTGGTGCACCATAAAAAGCCCCAGGGGTACCGCTATCCCGTCCATCCCGTTGACCGTCCAGACATGTTTGACAGAATTACACAGTTCATGTTTCATGCTGCAGGTGTAGTAGCCAAGTCCCGACGAATGGATACAGTAGATGTGGGGATTGCTATGTGTTATGGGGGTGGCCTGAACTTCGAAATGCCCTGTTGTGGTGCACCATGGAAAAAGCCCCCAGGGGTACGGCTATCCCGGCCATACGCGCATCCCTGCCTAAGTTGATCCCTGAACATCTCGCACTTATAACAACGGTCAGAAGCTTTCAAAACCATCAAGCATAAATCCCTGAAAAGGCGCAACAAGAAAAACATGCAACGCACAAAGCGATAAATAACTACTGTAGACTCTAATGCCTATAACCCCTGAACCCTAACGCCTAAGGCACCTAAAGCTGAATCCTGGGCCCTAAACCCTCAACTCTTAACCCCTGCAGAGCACTGGTTAGAAACCCTTAAATTAAACGAATCCTCGTAAAACTCCACAAAACAAAATTAAACGAATCCTCGTAAAACTCCACAAAACAAAATTAAACGAATCCTCGTAAAACTCCACAAAACAAAATTAAACGAATCCTCGTAAAACTCCACAAAACAAAATTAAACGAATCCTCGTAAAACTCCACAAAACAAAATTAAACGAATCCTCGTAAAACTCCACAAAACAAAATTAAACGAATCCTCGTAAAACTCCACAAAACAAAATTAAACGAATCCTCGTAAAACTCCACAAAACAAAATTAAACGAATCCTCGTAAAACTCCACAAAACAAAATTAAACGAATCCTCGTAAAACTCCACAAAACAAAATTAAACGAATCCTCGTAAAACTCCACAAAACAAAATTAAACGAATCCTCGTAAAACTCCACAAAACAAAATTAAACGAATCCTCGTAAAACTCCACAAAACAAAATTAAACGAATCCTCGTAAAACTCCACAAAACAAAATTAAACGAATCCTCGTAAAACTCCACAAAACAAAATTAAACGAATCCTCGTAAAACTCCGCAAAACAAAATTAAACGAATCCTCGTAAAACTCCACAAAACAAAATTAAACGAATCCTCGTAAAACTCCACAAAACAAAATTAAACGAATCCTCGTAAAACTCCGCAAAACAAAATTAAACGAATCCTCGTAAAACTCCACAAAACAAAATTAAACGAATCCTCGTAAAACTCCGCAAAACAAAATTAAACGAATCCTCGTAAAACTCCACAAAACAAAAATTAAACGAATCCTCGTAAAACTCCACAAAACAAAATTAAACGAATCCTCGTAAAACTCCGCAAAACAAAATTAAACGAATCCTCATAAAACTCCACGAAGCGGAACAATCATACCTAAACCCTAAACCCTTATATATACCTAAACCCTAAACCCTCGTACCTAAACCCTAAACCCTAAAACTCCACAAAGTAAGGGCCCCTGTCCTGGCTGTAGGCGTAGCGCAGCTCTGCCAGACCTTGGGCCTGAAGTACACCGTCCTCCACCTGAGTCACGCTTAGCGTTTTGAGTTTAGGGTTCTAGGGTTTTGGGGTTTGGGGTTTACGGTTTGGGGTTTAGAGGTTAGGGTTAAGAAGTTTAGGGTTTGCTTGGCATTTTGAGCTTAATGTAGGGGCCTTAATTGCTAGAATAGGGCTCTGGGGGTACACCATAATGTAGTTATAAGAAGGAACCACCAAAATCGTATAGGTAATTATTGAAGCCTCTATAGTAGGGTTCAGGGTGTTGGGGTTTGGGGTTTAGAGGTTAGGGTTAAGAAGTTCAGGGTTTGCTTACTGCTTGGAGTTTAGTATTTAGGGCTTCGGGTTTACGGATTGGGGTTTGAGTTGGAGCTAAGGGCTTAGTGCTTAGGGTTGATTTACGGTTTTGGGCGTAGAGTTTGGAGGTTAGATTTGGTTTTGCTTGCTCCGCTTACTCCTGCAGGTCTGGGAGCTTATAGCGCTTGAGGCTGCTACGGCCTCTGTGCGAGGCTGCCTTTATATGGATCTCGAACTCTAAGGACTCTAACTAATAGGATTCCTCGACGTATCGTTGGTTGCCGTCGTTGTTGTTGTTGTAGTTGTAGTTGTAGTTGTAGCTGTAGCTGTAGCTGTAGCTGTAGCTGTAGCTGTAGCTGTTGTTGTTGTTGTTGTTGTTGTTGTTGTTGTTGCTGTTGTTGTTGTTGCTGCTGCTGCTGCTGCTGTTGTTGTTGTTGTTGTTGTTGTTGTTGTTGTTGTTGTTGTTGTTGTTGTTGTTGTTGTTGTTGTTGTTGTTGTTGTTGTTGTTGTTGTTGTTGTTGTTGTTGTTGTTGTTGTTGTTGTTGTTGTTGTTGTTGTTGTTGTTGTTGTTGTTGTTGTTGTTGTTGTTGTTGTTGTTGTTGTTGTTGTTTGTTGTTGTTTGTTGTTGTTTGTTGTTGTTTGTTGTTGTTTGTTGTTGTTTGTTGTTGTTTGTTGTTGTTTGTTGTTGTTTGTTGTTGTTGTTGTTGTTGTTGTTGTTGTTGTTGTTGTTGTTGTTGTTGTTGTTGTTGTTGTTGTTGTTTTGTTGTTGTTGTTGTTGTTGTTGTTGTTG